GGGGAGCAGAACAGGAGGATTGACTGAAATGCAGTACTGAGGGGAGCAGTGGGCGAGACAGCAGAGGTCTGCCATGCCATGTGGGTCAATTCCCTGGCAGGTATTGAACTTGTGCTGCAGTGGCTGCTAACAGCTTCACAGTGTCAAGACTTAACCTCTTTTCCCACCAGGGACAGTCTTGAATGACTGCATTTTAAACGTACTTCAGAAGCCTCCCCATGAAAGACTATTTCAATCTGTTCACTGACTCCAGAAAGTCATTATCAGTGGTCCCTAATAATAACTTCTGTAACACAACCACATTAAATTGGATAAACGCTAAGATGCTTTCTCCAGAAAAGAATTATGTACACAAATGTCTGGAATCAATTTCAATGGATTCTTGGACAACTATGAACTTGGCATGGGCTCTAGGTTAAGAACATGTAGGTCTATCACTGAATAAAAGACTGAAGAGTGACCAAAGGCAGTGTGGGCAGTGTGTGGGGCCTGGTCCTTGTTCTGATCTGATTCACCTGGTAACAATACAAAGACATGTCTGAAACAACGGGGCAGTGACATATGGACAGAGAGTCCACTGAGCAGTATTTTTAGCACTGTCCCTTTGGTGAGTGTGCTAATGGTATGATGCTTGTGGGCAATGGAGTCTATTTCATACTGAACAACCTTTGGCAAATGACTCCTGGATTTGCGTTAAATATAAGGGGGAAAACCTTTCAGGTAAAAGACAATGATAACTGAAACAAAAAAAATTGGATTTGGTAACTCTTTGAAGGATGGTTACATAAAAGTTCATTATTCTGTTTTCTTTTACCTTTGTGTAATTTCAAATATTCCATTAAGAAAATAAAATTAAACCTACAAAACAGAACTACTAGCTACCTGAATGTTCCTGGGCCTTAAGTGGCATCTATTTTTTTTTCTTTACTTGAACTGCAATGTGCCAATTCTTGGCACGTTGCTAAGGTGTATTTATGTTTTATTCAAGTGAACAATTCTTTCTAGATGACTGGCGAGGGAGTGGAAACATGAAAAAAAAAAAAAAACCACATTCAATAACCGTCACAATAGTGGAATACTGGTAAGAGATGAAGACAGTCACAGAAAGGGGTGACAGGATGTGTCTGGACCTCACAGGTAACGAAAAGATTAAAAAAAAAAACAAAACTAAATCGATCTTCTTATTAATGTCTTCCTGAGTGATTTCAGAGCAACATATTTTCCAGGGCTTCGAGTTGCCCAAAAAGAGCTTTAGATGGGAATGGTAAGCCCATCGATAGCTTCTTAGAACCTTGCTATTTAAAATAGAAACTCTAAATGTTGTACCCCCATTAAAGGTCCTCTTGACATGAAGAATATTGACAAGTCTCCTTTATTCAATTAATGCACAAGGCAAATGCACAGTCTGAGTTAGAACAGAGGTTAGAGTCCAGCACGGAGCACTCTAGTCTTGTGATGCCAAGTGTACCCTGGAGTGCATGTCTTTGTTTTGTGACCCGTCTATGTACCTATCAATAATCAGATTAGATTTGCCACGGTGAGAGGGATCATTAGCTCGGACTGCACACTGGTGGTAAAACTCCGACCCTACAGCTAAGTCATGCCTACAGCACACCCTCTGCTTGCTCCTGACTACTACCTGTGAGCAAAGGAGACGCCTCAAGTCCAACCTGCTCACTGACTGGGTAAGATGCCCCGCATTTGGAAAAGCCTATGCTAAGGAAAGTAGATACAAAATAAATCTGCAAATGTCTAAGTATTTTGAATATGATTATACAGGACAAACCAGTTCAGACACAATTACACAAAAGTGCTTTAATTCTAAGTGCTATGCGGATGATTGTAGCAATTAAACAGTAATAAAATATTATAATGAACTTGTGGAAATTTGTTATAATGGACATTTAGCTCGAACATAATCAGATAATAACACAATTACTTGTATTTAAAAATTTAGAAATATTTATGGAGAATCGACTATGTACCAAAAAATTCCTAGTTCCTATAAAACTTTTCAGCCTTCCAAAATCCTTATTTTTCCTTGTTAAAAGGTAATACAATAACTTCCCCAGTGTATTTCAGTCGATCTGCCTATTCTGCTCCTCACTCTGTCTCTGGTGAGTCCTCTTACCTCTGGCCTATATCCCAGCTCTTGTATGCATAAATAAAATAAATCTTAAAAGTGAATAAGTAAAGTGTTAGCTAGTGGTACTGAGTTAATGCTTCACTTATGTGACACTGCATGGAAGCCTCTATCATTTCTTTCTTTCAGTGCTACACTGCTGAGGTTACCAGATACATGATTTACTCAAGAAGTTAAGTAGCATGAAATTTAAGATTTTAGAAGAACAAATAGGTAGTTTAATAAGTCATTTTCCTGTTACTAAGTTTTGTTATTTTTCTTTCATTGAAACCCAGATTAACAAATCCTGTGACTAAAACTAATTTAAAATTTTAAAGAATTTATAATTAGTAAACTACAGCAGTGATTTGCATGTTCTATTAAATTTTTCAGAAAAAAGTTTACCTAAAGTATGGTCAAAGTATCACCAATGTTTAAAAATTAATACAAATCTGGAATTATTATGCAGAAAAAATAACTGATTACTTACCTCCTTCTAATGACTTCCTGTAGTTCACATTAGTATTGCCTGGCAATTTAGGAACAAACCTATACACGTGAGTCTTACTAATCCAGCTCCAACCACCATATCCGGTTACTCTGTACTCCTCTCCTTTTTGTTTCCAAACCTGGTAAAAATGAAAACAATTTTTATTAAAAAAGGATGAGAATGCTTACAATGCACATGTGACTTTATAGATCTTCACCAAATGAGACCAACAATAATGTGACTTTATAGATCTTAAATAATAATGTGACTTTATAGATCTTCACCAAATGAGACCAATAATTTAAACTAATTAAGTTTATCAGTCAACTTCAACTATTTAAGTAATTGTGTCAAAAGTCAAAATTATAAATTACTCAGAGTTACAGAGTAAGTCACAGCAATCGCTGCCATTTATCTTCAAAGGGAATACAAAGTTACCTGATGCTTGACTGGAAATGTGTATTTTACCCACGTAGCTTGTTGCATTGTCTCTTCCTCTTCCTGCTTTTTTTCTTTTTTTTTGACTTTTTCCTTTTCTTCTCTTTCAATTGATGTCATCCTGTGCAATCTAAGAATATAAGATAGAGAGAAATACATTTAAAATTGACAAATAAAAAAGACAAAACTACCGTAAATGAACATTAGGAAACAAAAGCAAAGAATGGTTAGCTATAACCCTACAACCCAGACAAACCAACTCACAAACATAAGGAGAGGTACAATTTCATAAGAGGAAAAACCAAAGAGTTGGAAAAAGTAGAAACAAAACATCCTCCCTTTCCCATAGCCCACCTCACAACGGACTTATTTCTAAAACATCTCCTGCAAACTTTTCCACTTCTGTGACAGAGATACTTGATCACAAACACAAGGTCAGTTTTTTTAATCAGTGAACACACTAGGAAGATCTAGTGTGTTCCTATACCAGAACATACAGATCTTCCTATACCAGAACATACAGATCATTATAAAGAGTTAAATAATGTACCTTTGCATTGAACCTTTCCCCTATTGAAGGACACTTGATTCTTTCCTTGCAAAAAGGACCAACAAATCCCTTTCACTTTGTGAACCAGTATTTCTGATTCTGTCTAGATCTGGAGATTTAAAAGCACCCCACAGGTTCCACTGAAAGAATGCAGGCTTCTTACATCCACAAAGGGGCCCACGGGGCTGCCGGCCAGAGGCGCGGGCAAGGAAGGATGACATGAATTAGATGTCAATCATTAGGCAGGAAAAGACAGGGCTGCACTGCCAGCAGAGAGATGGCAGTCTTGAGATGAGGCTCTTCATTAAGGTGAGTGGACTAGATTTTCATGAATGGGACTAGTTTTCATAAACTGGGAAGTGAACTGAAGGCATGAAGAGAGAAGCTCATGTCTCTGAGAGATTAGTGGTAGGAGAATTGTTTTTAAGCACACCCTACCCAGATGTAGCCAATTTAGCATGCACGCTATAGGGAGAGAGAGAGCTCTTTAGTCAACTTTTGGGGGGGAAGGGCTGAAAAACTGATAGGGGATTTCATTTTCTCTCCATCGCTCCACTCACAGTTCCTAATTTAGTTACCTCTACTTCTAAGAAAGCTTTGTATCTCTGCTACTACACACACTAGAGCAGGCACACATTAGGCTCTAGACCGATGGGACGCGGGGAATGGGGGTGTACTTTCCTCAGGCTTAACCTACTGACCACAGTACCACTGCCAAACACCACCCAGGGAGTGAGGCAGGCTCTGGAGCGCAGCATGGCGGATAAGCTGAGGCCTAGGCCAAACAAGATAAAGAGTGGGTGACGGAGCCAGGCCAAATACTTTTCTCAACAGAGTCGAGAAAGTTGGGCTCAGCTTTAAAACCCCTTGAAAGGCCAGGACTGACACAGCAACTGAGCCATCTTCCCTGGTAGTGGCTGGAACAGGTAACACCTGTGCACTGACACTCCGGATCACAACTGGCCGCACGCACAGCCCTTGTTCCATTCTTATCACCAAGTATGAAGTCCTCACTGCACTGGTGATTTCAGGACAAACAGTTATGGATTAATCTGTGATGTTACTGCCCTTGAGAAATGCCATTGTTCTCCCTGCTACCAAGACAATCCTTATGGGAACAGCAGCGACAACAGTAAGCTCCACAGCAAGTCAATTCCATCTGGCTGGGCAGAAGCCTTGGCCGCTCTGCAGCCCTGAGGCCCCAGGAAGGAAACCCCACGAGGCTGGTACTCCACACCAGCAGGTGCAATGGGTGTTAAGTGTCCCTGCCACATCTCCACGGTCAAACAGAAAGTTAGAATATGGACTAAACTTCAACCCGGCTTCCACGTGACACCCAGGGTCTTGCATTTGTTTTGCTATTACAAAAAAGCTACAATCAATAATGTTGATGCCTTTCTTGGTAAACTTAGGAGTACCCTGCTATGTTTCCCAGTGGAGGGGTGGCTTGGTCCAGTTTGTGGCATTTTAAAAAGCTGACAGTGTCAGACGGCTCTTTAAATTGTACACTCCACACCACCATCAATTATACAGCCACCTGCTCTCCCAGCTTCACTCAAGTTAACACCAAACTTCTAAATTAATAGCCCGATCAAGAAATAGTATCCCACTGTTTTGATTTACATTTCTTTAATTATGAGACGTAACCATATCCTCTTTATGTCTACTGGCCTTTCATATTTATTTTTCTGCAAAATGCCTGTTCAGATCCTTTGTCTTGTCTGTACTGGACTATTAGTCCTTTTTCATCTATAAAAAGGTCTTTGTCAATTAAGGACATTTCCATTTGTAGTGCAAATATTTGTCCTCAGTTTGTCATCTGTCTTTTGAGTTTGATTATAATATTATTTTTCCACTCAGAATTTTAAAAACATATATCCACTCTTTTCCTCTATGGCATCTGGGTTTTATATCTGTTTAAAAAGAAAGTATCACAACAAAAACATAATTAATCCATGCTTTCTTATTGAAAATGTTTACTGCTTTTAAGAGTTTGTTCTCTTTTAAATCTGCATTTATCAAATGTTTCTGCTCAGGCAGGGATGTGGGGACATGCTCTCTAAATGCCCTCTTCCTCTGCTGACATGCAGTGGTATCATAACCAGCCTCCCACAGCTTTAGGGCTATTTCTGAATTCTCTGCTCTATTCTATTGCATTACTTGTGCAGTACAAACTATTTAGATGATTACAGCTTCAAAATATGTTCGAGTACCTTGTCTCTTCTTCCCTGCCATTTACTTCCCTTAGCCCTGCACATTAAATTTCTAAATGAAATACTAGATCATTTCAATCAAGATTCCTAGTGTCCCAGCAGGGAACATTTTACTCACAAAGCAAATGAACTTTACTGTTGATATATTGAATCAATATACTTATTAATTTGAAGCATGGCATTTTTAGGAAATGTAATACACACAGCTAAACATACATCTTCATTTTCTTGAAGTATCTCTTTATTCCTTTAGTGAAACTTTAATTTCTTTATATGGTCCTGAGTACTTCTTGTTAAATTTATTCCTAGTCATTTGAGGTTTCTTTATTATTGCTGGAATCTTTTCTTTCATTGTAATTTTAAAAAATCTATTAAAAAATATAACCAGGCCTTCCCTAGTGGCGCAACAGATAGGACACAGCATTGTATGCTAACCGTAGCTGCTTCAGTGAGAGTTTGACCCCCGACCCCAGAGGTGACCCACAGGGCACAGCAGACCTCTCCTGTCTCACCCCCTGCTCCCCTCAGCAGTGTACTTTGTTGATCTGCCTGTTCTGCTCCCCACTTTGTCTCTGGTGAATCCTCTCACTGCCCCTGTACCTCTGGACTGTACCCCAGCTCTGTATGCATAAATAAATCTTATATAAAACCAGGTTAAGAAATAGAACTTTATTGATAGTCAGATCTGAAGCTAATGTGTCTTAAACTCCAGGTAGTCATTATCATTCATTCAATTTTCTTTACAGTTTTATCACCTCTGCACACATCCCACATATTATAAAGCGTGGCTTTTGAAAACCTCGTAGCAAGAATAAGCAAACACATTACTGTCTCTATGAAAATAAGGCTCCCAGGTAAAAATAAACTTGTTCACAAGTTTACAAGAGAGTCTTTTGGTGAAATCAGAGAGGTCATGAGCAAGTCTGGGGAGGCTCTGGGCTCACCGCTCTGCTCCCTGGCAGGACTGTGGTAAACGGGCCAGCATGGAGCTGGTTCTAAGCCACTGCTCTATGCTGCCTGCTTCGGAGGCATCTCTGGTGTATCTTGGGAGTAGTCTCAGTTCTCCTCATTGACCTGGGCTTTCACGTTCTCTTTGAGTACGTTATCATTTGCCTGCTTGCAATACTGCTTATAAGGTTTTTACTTTTGTATATATTCAATTTGTGACTTCTCAGGAATCCCACTAGAGTTTCTATGTGGTTACTGTTTGCAGACACAAAACCTACAGCTCAGAGTAACAGCCACCTTAGTTAATTTTTATACTGTTTCTGATTTGTTTTCTATTAATTTTCTTGAGTTCATAATTAGACTGCATATTCTATTTGTGCTTTTATTTCCTGGTGTGCGCGTGTGTTTTATTTCTCTTGGCAAATTGCACAGGCTGTCGTTTAAAGAAAAGTTAAAAGGCAGCAGTGATAATGGGCATCTTTATTTTGTTTCACCTGAATGTTAATGGGAATTCAAGAGTTTCACCAAAAGCATAATATGCTTCTGATGTAGCTTAAAATAATTTTTCACATACGCAATAAAAGCCTATTCATCTGTTCCTATTTAACTGCTTTTTTTTTTTTTAACTGAGCGGTAATAATGAGTTATACCTTCTTAATACTTTCTTAGCATCTAATGAGATGACCTAAATTTTCTTCACTCCTTAAAATAGCATGTTCTTAATAATCTCCTAAGAATGGACAGGTAGGACCTCCCTCTCCCTCATGGTGCAAGGGGGTAAAGAACAGCATTGTGAATCTATCTGCAGTACCTGCAGCATGAGTTTGATTCCCTGGCTGGGCAGGTGACCCACATGGTGCAGCAGACCTTTCCTGACCTGCCGGCTGCTCCCCTGAGCAGTGTATTTCAGTAGATCTGCCTTCTCTGCTCCCCATTATCTCTGGTGAATCCTCTCACTCCCTGCACCTCTGGTCTGTACCCCAGTTATTATATATACAAATAAATCTTTAAAAAAAAATGGACAGGTACTTCCACAAGGAAGGAAGACCATTTTAATTTACTATTATCTTAATTTACTTGTGAATACACTTGTTAATATTTTAAGATTTTTTGAATACACATCTTTTTGCTGTCAATTACTAAATCAATGATAAATATTAATAAAACACAGGGCCCACCCAAATTTTATATTTGTTTTATTTATCAAGTTTAATAACTGTTTTACACTAACAGAAATAACAATTTGCAAGACTTTCTCCTTTTATTTTATGAAAGCACTTAAACAGAACTGCTGCCCGTAATGTTATGAACTTCCTTCTGAAACCATCATTTTACCCATCTCCTTGCTCATGGGTACAGTGGCATTACAAAAAAATTTTAAATATATTAATTACATCATCCTTCATTTTTGTACAATGTGTGATCTCCCCATGAAATTCCCACCACCCATTCCACCCCCCTCTCCCTGTGCTCGTCCCACCCGTCCTGGCCCTTCCCCCTCTCCCTCCTCTGCAGAAATGTCTCTGATCTATAGCTGCCTAATGATTTTGGTTTTTACTTTACTATAGTTACATTTTTTTCCCAATTCCTTTTTTGTTTTTTCTACATTCCTTCTATAAGTGAGACCATTTGATACTTTTCTCTTTCTTGCTGGCTTATTTCATACAGTGGCATTCTTTGAGTCAAACCAGAAGTTCTTTTCCTTCCTGGGAGAGGGGCATGGCTAGGGCCTCAGCCCAGTGACAGATCGCTGGGTGTGCCCAAGCCTTTACCCACCAGAAGGAAGAGTCTGACGGGCACCGAAGCCTTTACCCACCAGAAGGAAGAGTCTGACGGGCACCGTTCTCTGAGGAATGCAGGAAGCCTGACTGTCTTCAAGCATTCTGTGAAAGTTTAAAGTCCCGAGTACGGTGACAGAGAGCCAGAACACTGGTTGGCGCAGTCCTTTGTTCTGGATAGCAGCATTTGGCTCCAGGGTGACCTGACAGAGGGTTTATTTCACCAGATGTTCAACGCTTATTAGTATTCCTTTCTTCGGGTTGAATACTTAAGATGGTGCCCGGCAAATTAATTTACAGTTCCTCTTTTCTAAGGTAACAGTGGGGGCCAGCGACTTCCCTGCATATTTTTAGTTGCACTACACAATTTTCAATGTATTTATGTTCTCGTGAACATTTGATTCAAAATATTTTCTAATTTCCAACTATGGTTTGTTTTGAGCATTTGTTTATTTACAGGTGTATTTCTTAAATTTCATGCATATAGTCTTTGCATTTTGTTTAAACTTCTACCACAAATGTCTACACTGCTTAGAAATAGTAACACTGTATTAGCCTAAAGAAAAGGAGTCACACTGCATGTAAATTTTAGGGAAGGGATTATTTTCATTTTGTGGTACATTTGTGAGACTCAATCTCATTGGCACTTTTGGACTTCGTTTCTTCCTCACTGCCATATGGCAGGCTTTTAAACAGGCTAATATGGAAAAACTCATCGTTACAAAATATTGTAAGGAATTTAATTAGGGATAAAACTGCATTTTCTACTTTGTTTTTACCAAATTGTTCTTTTATCCTAGTTACTCTTTTCATAGCAATATATCAGAAATCTCTTCCAATTTTTAACTGCCAACCTGATGGGTGAGAAGTAACAGTCCCTAGCTTAATGCGCGCTCTCCTACCTCGTCAGGGAGGTTACACATCTTTGCGTGTCTCGCGGCTTATGTGTCTCCTTTGAATTACATTTTTATCTTTGCCCTTTTTTCCTACTTAGTTTGGGTTTTCTTGCTTACAGAACTGTAGACTTTTAAAAACACACTGTGCATATTAACCCAGTTTTATTACTGTGTGATAAAACAATATAAATTAATCTCAAGGTAAAAGTTTTAGGATGACACAAAAACTGAAACAACCGAAAACAACCCACTGTTTGCTGATACTCACAGAGGTGGTAAACCACACAGTCAAAGAAGGGGACGCACAGCTAAAACTGTAGCTCTCTTTGGAGGGGAGGAAATGAGCTATGGTGCAGACGCCCTTCTTTTTAAACCCATGGTATCTTCCCAAGTGTTCATTTCATTACCACTCACTGGAGCAATACATAACACAAAGGCTCCTGTATCCATCACGGAGTGAACACAGGGAAAGCCACGTGTAGTGCACGTGGACGCTCATGTGGACACTACACACCATCTTACTGGACATATGTGAGAGAAATAATGCCCATCTCATGTAGATTTTGGGTGATAATGAGAGAATCAGGGGGAAAGAAAATAAGACAAAAAGGAGGGAAGTGCAGACACGAAGGAGTAGAAGAAAGGCAAAGGAAGACGGGAAGAGGGAAGGAGAGTGGGAGGGAGGAAAGAAAAAACTCTGGTTTACCAGAGTCAGGAATAATTTACTGATTCTTTTTTAATTTTGAATGTATTGATTCTAGTATCACATCTACCACCTATTTCCACACATAAGGCAGCTAATCTCTTTCCGGGCCACCTGCTGATCTTTGCATCCCTCCTACAGTCTAGTGGATCTACCAAGCCAACTTTGTTCCCTGGTAGGGCAAAACCTTTTTCCTTACCCTTCCCATTTATCTTTTCAATTACTGGCCCATTTCCATATAAATTATTTAAATTATTCCCTGTAAATTATTTGTCAAATTCTACAGAAAGCCCAACTCTAGCTATCAATGTTATTGAAATTAGTTTATATATTAACATGAGGAAAGCCTGACACTGTCAAGAGTGAGACTTCTTACACATGAACATGAGGTAGTTCCCTTAATGTAGGTATTTCTTTTAATATTTACAATAGACTTTGCAATTTTTTTAAAGATGATTCCATTTACCATTATTTTAAAAATATTCTCCAACTATGAAAATATTTAGATTGCTCTCAAAGCTTTTTACTGGGTATCACAATAAACAAATGTTTCATAATAAAGTACCTATTTGAACTTCTAAATATGTCCTCAGGATTGATTTTAAGTCTGTAACCTAGAAGTATGTGACCATAGCATTGCCAGAGTAGAAGTCATATTACTAATGTCTAATTTTCCTGAATCATGGTCTGTAAATTTTAAGACATTCACTGTTCCATTTTTACCTCATCTCATACTATGAAAAAGAATCATTCTGTGTATGTTACCAAATGTGTCATACTTGCATATTCATAATTTAGTTTTATGACTTTCTAAGTGACATGTCTAGAAGACATGTTTGTCATAATGACAAACCAGGAAGAAGAAAACCCGTGATTAAAAAAATTGAGTATTATTTAGAAATACATTTATAAAAGTCTGATTTAGTAATTTTACACTTATTCATTTATTAGTAATTTTAAATTATGTTCGAAGATTGGAGTTTTATTTAGCAATATTTAGCTGAGCTCTAGTTTGCAAAGTACTGATCTGTGGCACCAAAGGCAGCTGCCCAGTCCTCCAACACAGGCTTCAGGGTGAGCTCTTAAAATGTGGGAAGTGCGGGACCCCGCTTGTGGTGCAGTAGGTTAAAGCACAGCACTAAGAAGCTAAAAGCCTCTTCAGCAGGATTTCGATCCCTGCCCACCCCGGAGGTGACCCACAGGGCGCGCGGCAGATCTCTCCTGACCCGCCGGCTGCTCCCCTCAGCAGTGTACTTGTCAATCGGCCTGTTCTGCTCCCCACTCTGTCTCTGGTGAAGCCTCTCACCACCCCTGCACCTCTGGCCTGTACCCCAGTTCTGTATGTATAAATAAATGAATCTTTCAAAAAAAAAAATGTGGGGAGTGCTTGGACAGAAGAAAACTGGGCAAGTCTGGAGGGAACGCAAGAAGAAACAGAAGCACAGACTGTTGCTTGTCTCTGATGCGCCTTGTACTATCTACCACAAGAAGAGAGCCATTAGAAGTGGAATAAAGGTGTGCTTCCCATTTAGTGCTCCTCTTCTGGGGTGTTGCACCTGAACTTAACCCTATCCGCCCTTTCTTTGTCCAAGGAAGAATTCAGTTCATTACACTTGTGAAAGTCTCTACTGGTAAAAGCAATTATATTCGAGAGAGGAGGGAGAAAAGAGAGAAAACAAAGTATAAGGCTTAGGTGGCAGAAATAGCAAAGGAAATGGAAATATGTTAAATAGGTAGAATTTGCTTTTCTTAAAAAGCTTTTCATTAGCAGATAAAGCACTGCTCTGGACAGCAGCACACAGTGTATTTACATTTGAAAACTTACAGCATTATATGTTTGGAGTGGACCCTACAGAGGAGTAGGGAAGCTAGAAATTGAGTCTCACCTTTTGCAATAAATAATTTACATTTTTTTTTTTTTTACCATAAGCTTCTTTTAGTTTATAATCAATATTTTAAAATACTAAAGCTAAAGAACAAACCCATCCCACTGGCTGCAGTTTCACAACTCTGGGTCTACTAATGAGCTGTGTGATCCTTGACAGACCTCAGCTCTCAATAAGCGAGATGCCTGCCGTACTACCTGGACATGTGGACTGATACTGAAATATATGAGGCTCTTTTTAGTTTAAAAAAAAAAAAAAAAAGGATTTTTATTTGCGAAATATTTAATTTTCATATGCTGATCTCTTTTCATCTTCATTGTAATTCTATATCATACGAACTAATGTTCATTCATGTTTACATCTTACAGAGGAAGAAATGAGACCAAGAGGAAGTAAGTCTTCACCATGGCCTTTTAAATACATTACCTTCCATTACTAATAGATTAATATTCCAACAGCAAGTACAGTACACCATTCACAAGGCTCAGCGTTCACTTACCTCGTGTGTCCCAAAGATTCTCGCCATATTGGCAGCATTACGACTGGTTTTACTGCACATTCCAAGATGGCTAATGCCAGTGCAAATTCTCTGGGCTTGCTACACATCTGAACTGCCTTGATCCAATTTGCCCTATATTTCAAAAGGAAAGAAAAAAAAAAAAAACAGGAAAAGTACTTTATTTCATTCATCTTAAAAGTACAAGTTATAATTTATGACTCTCCTATAGGACCTATGTTTCCAAGTAAAGCAGATCAAAATGGACTGCTGTTAGAAGTTTCTACTTCATAGAATCAAATTCTGAACACCAGAGGAAATCCTACAGTCGGCTGATCCTCCAACTCCTTAAACATTCTACAAAGTTCTAGAACTTTACCCACTTGACCCAGAGACAAAGATTCTGTTTCTCAGAAACCTTCCAAATGCTAGTGTTGGAAGCACACTTATACACTCATTTTCAGTGTTTTGTTAACTAAGTTGATTTCATTTAATTCATTAGTACTGATAATTTTAAGTGCATGTCTGCAGTAATAATTTTGTAAATCTCAAGCATATTACATAGCAATAAAAGAACATTAGTTTCTTTTACCTATGGGAAGCCCAATTGGGATGAAGAAAGGAGGAAGGGATATTGTTTTCCAGTTGGGTGATAGTCAGTCTCAGAGTAGATATGGTAAGAACTTTGGACCCATGGACAGAACCATTCCATTTGAATTCTCCTGCTGGAGTCAGACAGAATTTATGTGCAAGATGCCTTCTCTTATCATGATCTTCTCTGTGCTGGTGCTTATTCAAAGCAAATGAATTGGTGGAGTACTGATTGTGATAGACACGATACTTCCCTTCTTGACCCAACTTAAAGTAATTGTTGATATTTCCTTTCATGACCACTTCCTTTTTGGTGCTCAATCGTGAAATTTCTCCTTGAGAGTTAACTACCAGAACCTGACCAACGAAATAGAAAGAGTCCATCATTCATATCAATTATGGAAATTTGAGTTATCAACTTTCAATATGTAATTTATAAAATTCAAGTAAGCTAAGATACACCTTAGATTCTGAAGTTTAAAAGTTAAAGCTAAGTTTATAATTAAGTGACCAAGATATTCTGCAAAGAAAGCAAACATTCGTTTTGTCCATTATGTGTCAAACATTTCATGTATATCTCAAATATATACATGCAACTTATGTATAAATCATTCACCTACTATCATTTCAAGGCTACAATATATAAACTAGAGAAAAAGGAGAACATTCCAGGTACTATTGCCCCAAAAGAGTATTCTTTAAAAAAGGTCTTTTTTTCTTCTGCTTCTTTAATCATTCCAGCTTTAGTATCAGAGTCCATGGATACTTTAGTATGTGTTTTCAAACAGGTGACCCAATCCTTCAGCGGGCTGGGCAACCAATCATGGGCCAGCTTTTTAAAAAGCAAAGCATAATAAAATAGTCTAGATTATAAGAGAAAATACCAGAGTGCTTTCCATATGACATACCATTTCAGGAAACATTTAAATGTGTGCAATGCTCCTATGAAAAATGTCTTACTGAGGGTCAGAGTAAAAAAGCCCAAAAGTCACTGCTTCAGAGCAATTTTCTATGATGTTAAGTAAAAATCTTGTATATTTTAACATATCTCTCATGCAAATAATTCTAATATTCAGGAGATATGGCTTTGGCAGTGGTCTGTCACACGGCTTGCTGGAGGGCAGCAATACTGAGTCCTTACTTCAGTCTTTTTTGTGCATAGCCAGAGGCGGGATGTGTGCTATGTTATGCGCTGTGCCCTGCTTTCAAGAGGTAAGCTCCATCTTCCAACTGCAAGCTCACCTAAAATGATTATGACTGTCACTGAGCATTAAGCCACCTACAACTTTCTAGTAAAGCTCACAAATAGCCCCCTCAACACCATATGTCAAAGTCGTGTCTATCTCTTCAGAATTACATTCAATGAAACCAATTGTACTTTAAGAAGGTATCCCACCCACTGACAGCAAGTCTATGCACGGACTGAAATCTGGGAGTACAATATACTCATTGCTTAGTGGTGTTACCCACCTACACTCTTGGAAATAAAGAAAATATATTTCACACGTAGATCTACAAACTTTCCACCCCTATTTTTAATGTATGGTAAAAACAAGAATTTCAAAATTCTGCGTTTTTGTTTGGAACAGAAAGCACACACCTCTTTGCCTTCCTTAAATAATTTATTTGCTTCATGGGCTGCAGCTGCCACCTGTTGGCTCTTGAGCTGACTAAGTTTGCTTTCTGGATTTCGTAACCTGGTGATAATTCGCGTTGAAGCAGATGCTCCTCTTCCAGCTCCAGGAGACTCACTTATCTCCCCGTTAGATTTCTCTAATTTGAAATCACCTGTTATCAAATGAAAGGTCAAAAGTAATTGCTAACAGTTACATATACATAACAACTTATTTATCCAAAATTTATATCTGATGTACATTAAAACTAGAATGTAAACAGAGAAAAGTTCTTAAACTGCCAAAGCAAGTGTATATTAATTCATAAGATTTAACTTAAAAAGAAATTCCTGTCAGAACTTCACAGGGATCCATTTGCTGTTTACAGAAAATTTAATCATGCCAGGTTATCTACTTCAAAGTTTATCTACTAGAAAACATGAAGGGCTGCTACAAATTTATAAGTGACAAACATAATTCAAAATGCACACTAACAGCATGTTGCCTTATATGGATTTCTGTACAAAAAAAGTGAAGGATATAATTAATTCTAGAAGGGTTTCAACTATAACTGTGTTTAAATAATGGCTTGAAGCTTGTGCCAAGTGATTTTCCCCCCTAAGGAATGTAGATATCTGTGTATGCAATTACACACGTAAAAATTCAACTAAATTAGCACTTTTTAATGTAATAAAGGTCACACATATTTCCAGTGACAATTTTAAAGTGACAGATTTAACTACCTAGGAGCAATTTCTGATTTCCCACGACTGGCTTTGGCTCGACACTATACATTCCCAACTATCCCAGCACTATCCAATTCCCACTGGTCAAACAGTTGCACATCTCATTTTTTTTTTTTCCCTTTCAATTTAAGATAGTGTGACACTGGCAAATGAAAGACCAAACAGGAAATTCACTATACTATATACTTAGGTGGGGTTTTAAATAGAGGAAAACATGCATTGGGAACACTGGCTATCCATTTTGAAAAATAAAAAAGACAATTCAGTAAATGCTTGTTAAATATCCATTCAACATCACTACTCTTTCTCTTTCTCTTAAATCCATTTCAACCACATGATTCTTCCAGGACTGCAAATCTAGCACCTGACCCTCATGGGGTGAGCTGACATCACCTGGCTGGGCCAGATGGAGCTCAACACTGGCTCGCCACAGGGAATGTCCCATCCTACTCTAATTTTTAGATTTTGGAGATGGAGAAATGGTTTTGTTTTCTGTGAGCAAAAAGGGTATAAATTAGCAATTGGCTAGTTTACCCCATAACATGGAGAAAATGTTCAGTAAGCCCATCACTGAGGAGGGAGAAATATGAAAAAATGTCAGGAAGACCCATGATAACCTCACTTGGCTCCTTGGGTCCAAAAATATGCCTGAGGCTGTTACAACCTCTGGACCTCCCAATTATAAGAGCAAATAAAATTCTCTTTTCTTTTAAGCAGGTTTGGTAGATTCCTGTCACTTACAATGACTAAACTGTAAGTAATCCAACAGAGTATTTTAAGATTTTTGACTCCAAATTATGGCACTCACTAAATCAAGATGGAGTGGGTGTATTGGGTATCTTGCCAAGATGGAAATTTAATGACCTTCAGTGTATGTTAACAAAGTAGTTAGTCAGGCTATCGAGAGATATCTCTACAAGTTTAGAGAATGAGTCTACCCATGCTGCAATTTTATGCTAAAATGCAGAAATAGGTGGCTACTTCTTGCAAGTATCTATAAATTCCTACAAGAAGATTTTTTAGATCTGTTTGGTCTTCCTAGAAGCAGAAATGGAATGGTAAGAAGTCTCTTAACTTACAACTATCACCCAATATTGTTAGGCCATTTGCTCAGTTGAATGCAAACAAGGGGAAAGAGGCAGAAAATTAGCATGGGGTAAAACCTTAGTGAAGCAGAGAAAGGAAACAGGGCTGAGCGTGGTGATAACTTATCTAATAGCCCCTGTGCAAATGCCATATTCCCTCTACTATAAGCAGTGAGTAACAGGGACCCTGCCTGGGGGCAGAGTATAAAGCTGCGTTTACCCCAGTCTCTGTAGCTCACATCAGGAGACGGAAGTCCAGACAGACTTTGTTTGTCTGAGGGCTAGGGTCATTGGGTCCACTAAATAGACAAACTGAGCAAGTACAGGGATTTGCCCTCAGGCTGCATTTCTGGACATTGGATAATAGCTGGGTAAATCTATTAAGGGGATGCTACTGACAGAAAAAAGCTACAGACCGGCTAAACTGGGATGTGTGATTATTCAAACCTACAGCAATCCCCAGCATCGCATCCCTGAAAAGAGCCCATAGGACTAGGTTGCCAAGGCAAACAGCCTTCAGAAAGGAGATCTTCCCAAAAGCTTCTCACTTGTCACTCAGTCACCCTTCAGACAACCAGCAGCAGCAAGATTTACAAAGAAAACCTTTCACTTTTGGGACAATACTTTTGCAGGTAGTTAAATTCATAATTTGCTTATAGATTTGAGATCAAAGAAAGACATACCCAAGACCTAATTTAAAATAACATAACACACCAAAATCCTAGATTTGGTTGTAGATATAAAGGCAATTACCAGGTGTAATTTTGGAAAAGAAGTTTTTTTTGTTTTTTTAAATTCAATTTGCATTATCATGTTAGGCAGAAATGTTTTTTTAATTTAAATACACATTTATACTGAGCTAACACAGGGTGAAATTGTGGATATCTGCAGTTTTCTTTCTACCTATTGAAAACCATTCCTACCCCACTCCAATCATGTTTTTGCTGGAGCCATCAATCATAATACCTTGCCTGCCCTGGCCACAGGGGTGGGAACAATATGTCCAAGAAAAGCCTCTCAAATTCCTTCCTCAAGGATTTTTGTTTTGGAGCAGGAGTAGGGGCCTTGCCTTTAAGTCACAGACCTTGAAAAGATACGAATACAAACCGCTGATGACATCTTCCCTGCCTGTATTAGGAGAAAAAGCCTGTCTGTATTAGGAGAAAAGGAGTTAATGCACAAACATATATAGATCCAAAAGGAGCAAAAACAGGAGAGGAGACAGAGTTTTTGATGCCTGGAGTTCCAGTTATGTCTAATAATAGCTTATATTTCCAGATTACATGAGTTCATTAAATTCCTCTTTCACTGAAGCTAGTTTAAGTTATTTCGGTCACTTTCAATTTTACAATTCCTAAATTAATTAAAACAAATCTCCACTTTATACCATACACAAAATTTTATGCAAAAGGACTAAAAGTCAAGTTGAAGAAGTCTTATGTGAAATGACTGCAAAATATATGCATATTCTTGGGGTAGGGATGGTCTTCCTTAGTAAGATACAAAATCCAGAGAAACCTTAAAAAAAAAGATTGATATATTTAGCTACATAAAAATGTAAAAGATACCTGTACAAGATAGCAGTTTTTGAAACACAATAATTATTAAGCATATATGTAAAATCAAATATTAGTAGTTACAATACCTGGATCATTCCTAAAATACATTAAGGCAAATGCAAGGACGAAAATGAAAACTCAATAGGAAAAAAAGAGCAAAACTTGGGTAAGGAATTCACTGGAAGCTTAAACACAAACATGAAAAGAAAGTCAATCACATCAGCAAGCAGAGCTCCGTAATTTTTAATAAAATACTTTTCAGCACTGGCAAAAATGAAAGAGATTGATACTATTGACTTCAGATGTGAAGAAATATGTATGTATGTAAATTACTGATATACACCCCTTTTGATAACTAAGTAGTCATCACTGCTTTAAATATCCATTTACTATTCCTACACTTCCAGAAACACATAGGTACACAAAGATGTATCCTGAGGATGTTAAGAAGTGCCATTATTTTTCGTAATGAAAAAAATTGTTAATAGCCTAAATGTCCTCTAATGGAGAAATAAATGATTCATGATTCATTCATACTATGGAGTATCATGCAGCAGTTAAAAAAATGAATTTAATTTAAATAACATGAAAAGATCCCCTAAATGTATTACTGAATGAAAAAAGCAAGACACAGACCAATACATGCAGAATGATCCCATTTATGTAAAAATAGTACAAAACAGTTCTTGCAAACATGCATATGTTAATTTAAGTGTATGGAGAAAGATGTAAAACTGTTGATGGTGGTTACCTTTCGGGAGGGGGTATGAAAAAGATGTTTTTTCAACTCTGTGCTTTGATATTGATTTTTTTTAACAAAACAACTGGTACTACTTGTGTTTTTTTAAAAAGAAAAAGGAAATCTGTATTTTCCCACCCCATCAAACTTTTATTAAAAAATTAAAAATTTAAAAAAAAATCAAAAAGCTGGCCTTAAAATAGGAAGTGTATTCTTACCTATCTCTTCTTGAATAGAGACAGGTGTATGGGATTCTCTTTCTCCATTTTCAGGATCATCAGCTGCCTTAGAGTCACTCTGGGAAGAATTTATTTCACTGCTGCTGTTATTGTTTTCCAGATTAGGCTGGATGGAGGTAGTGGTAGCACTAGTGTTACTGCTGTCACATGTCTTGTTAGGGTCTTCTAGAAAAATAGAATATCTCATTTTTAAACTGGACATCACATGAAAAATAATTGTCAGAAAAAGACAAATAATTGTTTTAGAATTGCACTTGGAAGCTAGATTTTTAAAAATCTGCACATGTACGAATAATCCAATGTATGAAAATTGTAAGTAAAACCCTAGGAGTTATTTTTTAAGTCTCCCAGTCTAATAACCTAGATTCTTACTATGTTAGTCTACAGTGCAAAGCAGACATCTTTCAGATATCCCAACCTGAAGAATAGTGACATAACTATTTCACAAATCTGATGGTACACCAGATAGTGCAGAAATGATTTTGTTGAGATAACACCTCAAAATCTAAAATTTATATTCTGACTTTTCAAACAGTATTGGAAAGAGAATTAAACAGGATTATTTACCTTTAAGGTTTTCCATCTAAATTCTATGTCCCCAAATAAACTAAAAGGTAATGAATGCCTAAGTGATCATTAAATTGAAGAATGATTTAATAGTCTTCTAATAGAATAATTCTTCAAAGTATAGAAGTACACCAAAATGAACACTGCAGTGATTTTTTTGAAATGAAAGTTTGGATCTTTCCATGCTAGTTCAAAAACTAAATGACATTTCATTTTGCCACTAATATGAACTCTCTCACAATCACACAAATTAAAAGGTGGTTGACAGTACAGCAGGAAGATTATCTCTAAAGTATAATGAACTCCTGATTTGTTTTTCTGAGAAAAAGGTCAATGACCTGAGAGGAAAAAATGGTTAAGTATATATGAATAGTCACAAAGGAAATGAAAATGGCTTTAAATCTATGGAAATATGCTGACAATTCAAACTATATAAAAATACTTCCGAATCACCAGACTGGCAACAGACACCTCAAGTCTCATAATACGCTCAGCTGGAGAGACAGTGGGCAAAGCAGGAATCCCCACCAGGGCTATGGGAATGCAAAATGGTGCTACGTGGATGGAAGAGGAAAACAACATCCAGAGAAAGCACACATGCCTTTTCTCTTAACCTAAATCCTTGTCCAGAAATCTATCCCAGAATACACTGGCAAAAATACTAAGCTGCTTACTTACAGAGTTAGTTACTGCAGCGTTATTTACAATGACAAAAGTAAAGGAACAAGCAAAATGCTCATCACAGGACAAGGGGTGAATAAGGACAGTACACACAAACAGATACCGCATCACGAGAACTGAGGAAGTCACCAGAGCCACATATGAAAGGATCCCAAGTTAATGTACAAAAGATGTGACACGGCACTTCCAGTCTGCTAACTACGTGTAAGAAGGATAGGGAAATACATACTTCCGGGCATATTTCGCTTTCATTTACAAAAACTAAGAAAGCCGAGTCTCTCCCACCAAGTCCATAATTCATGAGAATTTAAAAGAAATAAGTATTTATTCCTGCTTATTACTCAAATAGCTGTAATGAGGAAAAACTCTTTGCAGAACTACAATTGAAAAATATACCCCCAAAAATGACAGAATTAGAAATCACCTTGTTATAGGGCCCCAAATAGAGCCCAGATTTTGGACAGATCATCAGTGAATGAGAGGGTAAGAGGGAACTTGATCACATCACCACCTGAACTCACTAGTCAACCTCAACTTTCCTCAAGGAAGATCGAGCAGACTTCATGAGACTTCTGATGTGATATGACAGGAAGTACCCAGCATGGTCTTCTTGCCAAAACAGGAGAAAATGAAGTTAAGTCAACAATTCAGAACAGATTAAGTGGCAGTAAAAGAAAAGAATCCCATACATGGGACATAAAATACACTAGGTTGCTTCAATAGCATGTGAAAGAAAAAAGCAAGTTCTAGATTAGCACACACATTTTGATTTTCAATGATGTATACCTGAAACTTATAATATTGTGGTGGATGTGTGGTGCAATGTTAATATGTTAATTCAATTTAAACATATTTTGAAGAGACTCACGAGAAATAAAGTCAAGTGTCTTATCATATATGGGCCTTATTTGGCGTTACTACAAATACACCAAAGTGACGGAAAACAAACAGCTACCAAACATTGCTATGTGAGAAAATTTAAATTGACTGGGTACTGGGGCCTCCCTGGTGGCTCAAAGAGCTAAATTTCAGCACTGTGAAGGGCTCTGCAGTCAATGCAGCCTGAGTTTGATCCCCAGCAGAGAGCTGACCCACATGGCACAGCTCTCCTGTCTCCCCACTGCTCCCTTCAACAGCTGATTTCAGTAGATCTGCCTAGCTACATAAATCTTTCTGACCACTGATCATATCCAATATGAAACGGATTCTCACATCCATAGATTTTTAGACCATAAATTTGTAATTTTTCCTTTGCATGCTTTCTACCAATTTTTATGAAGATGATAGTGCTCTTTGACATTATTTCAATATATAACTTGAAATTTAAAAAAGTACACTTCTAAAGGAATTCTAAAGTAGATATAGTTCTAAAGATTCTGAATGTAAATTCCTAAAGAGATTTTCAATTCTGATTATTAAAAAAAAAACTCTTCTATTTAAAAAATTATATACAATTCAAACACTAACCAAAAGAAACTATAGTTTAGGGTCATTAAAGATAAAAGACATTTCATAATGATAAAGTCTCCTAAATAAGAAAGCATAAAACTATGTGTATCTAATAACAGACTTACACTATGTAACTAAAAAAAAAAACTGAAGAAAATTTTAAGAGGCAACTCCACAATAAATAGAAGTCACTAGAAAACATTATGTAGAGAAGAAAAGGAGCATGGATATAGATTTGAATACAACTAAAAACTATGACCTGATTGTTCTACAATGTACCCAACAACTAAAAACACACTTCCTTTCAAATGTACATTTACCAAAACTATCCAAATGCTGAACCGTAAAACAAGCCACAACAAATCATAACAAATCATAAAAATATAAATCATGCACAGAGTTTTCCCTGACTGTGGTAGGTTAAACTGGGTTATTGGTAGGTTAACACCAATGACAAAAAGGTAACTAGAAAATCTCCAACTGTTTCGATATTAAGCAAAATCTTTTAAGTAAATGGTTGTTAAAGAGAAAAAAACCAAGACCACGTCATAATGAGAATTAGAAGATATTTTAAATTGAATGATAAAGACACTGTAACAAAAGTCTGGGATGCAGCTATAGCAGTACATTGAAGGAAATTTGATGTAAGAGGAAAAAAATAACACAATTTCCAAAGTAACTTCTTAAGCAGAGGGAAAACTAACATAGAGGGTATAAAAGAAACTTTTTGGAGATGATGGTATGCTTAGAGCACAGACTATGGTAATAATATCAGAGGTGTCTATCTCCAGACTAAACAAGTTGTACATACTAAATATGTACAGCTTTTAGTTTGTCATGTATACCTCACTGGTTAAAACAAAGAAGCAGGAGGGGAAAGAAAAGGGAATAATAAATATCATACAATACAGGCCACCAACAAAAGACATTAGTCACTGTTTTGATGGTGATAGTTAGACAGAGTTTTTTAGGTAATCGATGTGAGTGGCCCTCCTTGGTGGTGCAAGGGGTTAAGTCTCAGCACTATGAAGCTTTCTGCAGTCACTGCAGCAAGAGTATGATCCCCAGCCAGGGAGTGACCCACATGGCACTGCAGACCTCTCCTGTCTCCCTGCTGCTCCCCTCAGCAGTGTATTTCAGTACATCTGCCTGTTCTGCTCCCCAACCTGTCTCTGGTGAATCTTCTCACCCCTGCCTCCCACCTCTGCTCTTGTATGTATGTATGTATAAATACATAAAATAAATCTTAAAGAAAAAAAAAAGTGAGGATTCAAGCCCAGGAAGCAATCCAAAATATTTTACTCTGTTAGAACTGTTTCAAATAAACACAAGTCTGAATTTAGCTTAGATAAGTAGGAACAGTGAGTCACTGGCATTAAGACTATGTTCTGGACAGGAGGGGCTTCTAGTCTACGTTATATTTACCAAAAGATATGCCGACGCTAGAGGAAGGCAATGCTGGACTTAATTTTTTTCCCTGCTAGTGAGCGCTGTCAGAGATACAAAGGATGGATATCAACTGCTGAAACTTTTACCTGAAAAGACTGATTTTTATTTTCAGGCAGTAGATTTGTGAATTCAGGATGGAGCTTTGCTCTCTTGCTGGCCAGACCAGGGGCGGTGACCCAATGAAAGTTACAGAAGTCTTTATGGTCAGACGTTTTGTTACAGTCTTGATCCATGTGCCAACAGTTAATTTTTTTTTTTTTTACTAAAAATTGTTAGTTTGTGAGATAATTAAGAAAGAACAGATAACTGATCTCTGGATTAAAAAAATAAATAAAGAGAACATCACTACTACTACAGATCCTGCAGACATTACAATGGGGTATTATGCCCCAAAGTTTACAGTTAAAATGACATAGGTGGGCTCTCACTGGTGGCCCAATGGGGTAAAGCACTGCATTATGAAACTCATGGAAGCCACTGCAGCATGAGTTCGATTCCCCGGCAGGGAACTGACCCACGGCAGACCTCTCCTAAGCTGCCAGCTGCTCCCCTCAGCAGTGTACTTCAGTAGATCTGCCTGTTCTGCTCCACCACTCTGTCTCTGGTGAATCCTCTCACCCTCCCCACCTCTGGCCTGTAACCCCAGTTCTGTAAGCATAAATAAGTAAATCTTTAAAAAAAACAAATGACATAGGTTGACTCCTTAAAAAAGGTAACCTATCTATGCTGACATAAGACAACAACAAAAAATATGAATAGCCCACCATTTACTAAAGAAATAAAATCTACAATTAAAAACTTTCAAAATAGGGCCTTCCCTGGTCATACAATGAGTTATTAAAGTGCAGCACTATGAAAGAACTAGCTGCAGCTGCTTCAGCATGAGTTCTATTCCTGGCCAGGGAGCTGAACCACAAGGCACAGCAGACCTCTCCTGTCTCACCCACTGCTCCCCTCTGCAGCGTAATTCATCAATCTGCCTGTTCTGCTCCCCACTCTGTCTCTGGTGAACCCTCTCA